ATGCTTATTTACTCAAACCGAATTAATTTCATTTGAAATGCTTCTCATTATTCGAGAAAGCAGTTGTTAATACGAAGATAGCTGTGGCACAATGTCTTCATGCATGCCATGGCTGAGGCGTGTTCTGTGTGTGTTAGACCACACCCCCTTTCTCCTTGATCTAGACTGCAGGATTTTATTTGCGCGGGATTATTTTCGGTTGTAAGGTTTTTAACTGTTCATGTGGAAAGTGATAATAAAGATATTTTGTTTTTTTTTCGTGTAGTCGATTAGTAAGCTCGTGTTCGTTTCTTTCTACACGTAACTTAATGTTGGTGTCACAAGAGTTATAATACGAAGAAACGTTTATTTTTTTAATTTTAATAACGTATGGGAATGCCTTCAGTTTTTTCGAGTATAGTGGCAATTTTCATCATTATAATGGTAGTTGAAAGGCCCGGAAATGATGAGCAAAAAATGATAATTAGGCGGAAATATACTCAACCACATATGTACCAGCTGCTTATTGAAATCCCTCTGAAAAATTTTGTTTTTTTTCGTGTAGTCGATTTGTAAGCTCGTGTTCGTTTCTTTCTACACGTAACTTAATGTTGGTGTCACAAGAGTTATAATACGAAGAAACGTTGGCTTGTAATACACAAGGCAAAACCTCAAATAGCAGATGAACATGGGAGCTGGAACAAAATATACCCAAGAATAAATAATAATTTATTTCTTCACTCCCATACACGTAGGGTTCATCTCCTGAATACTTTTTTCATATCCTTCCATCTCTTCCGGCAGTCTGTGAGCCTCTAATGGTTGTAATCAGCACAGTAGTAGATTGAGACTAAGAGTAAGCCTAAACCTGAACTGGAGAGAATTTTGCCTGGGTGGGACTAACGGAAACCCATGTGTGTAATTGTGTAGCTCAACTAGTTAAAATCCACGTGTATCTGGTTCCTGCTCAAAGCGATAAGGGATGAAGCCTGAGCCTTATATATCCATTTGTATGTGACCCCGATTGCATGCAGATGAAATACACTTCTAATGTTGTTAACATAAGCTATATAATCATCCCCATGTGTAGTGTTACACCACTAAAAGGTTTGCAGGTTGCTTTTCCTTTCGCTTTTCACTTCCCCACATTCCCAACGCTCCGACATTTTATGCTGTCGTCAGCGAAGAAATGAGAAAGGCAAGAAGTGAATTTATTAATACAAGGTGTTTTTGTATTAATAAATTCACTTCTTACAAGGTGGATTTATTAATACAAGGTGTTGATATATGAATTAAAATATATGGCAGAAGAAGACTTCGACAGTGAGGATGTCTTAAAGAAGGTCGAAAGTTTGCTCAAAGAGGTGAAAGAAAATTATACCTCTTCGAATTAACTTTGCATTATCCGTTCCGAAGTCCTGAGCATGAATTAGCTTTGCAATTTATAATTTATTGAGCATTAGCGAATCTAAGCCTTAACTAAGAAACAGTTAGAACATAAATTTTAAATTCCAGCGCTAACTCTGTAATGAATTTCAGCATAAAAAGTATCTGAAAAATATTATTTGAATATAAGAAAATATTTTCGAATTATTCAGTTGATTGTGGTGGTACAATTGATCTGAAATAGTTCGTATTTTTTTTGCAAAATCCTACTCAAACATATTACTCTGTTATTCCACCCCATAAGTTGCACTCAAAGTTTTCCATTCAATTTTTTAATCAAACAGTCGTTGTTGAATATCATTCTCATTATGTTTGTTCAGTTTGATTCTAAGTTAAAGTATCCTATGACAAGTATTCAACAATACACCTAAAGTAATGAGCAGAATATGCAAACAATTTTTTTCCTTAAGAATAGTGAAAAATATAAAATTTCTCCGGTTGAGAAATTGACCAGCTTAATTTGTTTGTGTGAGATAAAAGAAGATCTAATTGTAAGCAGTGTTTTAAAATTTCAATCAAACTGAATCATCAGTTCTATAATTTCAGGTAGACAGAGTCGATCCCACCGAAAAGTGTGAATGGGCGACCGTTCTAGTGAAACGTTACATGAAAATTCGTGCTCGATATACCGGTCATTCTTTAAATATTTCATGAATTTATACCATGATAATATATGAAACAGTTTTGTCTTCTCACTGGATCAACTGAAGATATAAATCAATAGTTCGGTAGATTTCAAGTATGGAATCCGAGATGTGAGTATGAAAGTAAAATTTGCTCTTTTCCGTAACATTTTTAATTCGATGAATGAGCCATAAGAAATGTTTTATCATCATCTCAGTATTTGATTAATTGATAGATTTATTCAATCAACTATGTTTGTTTTTGAAGAATTGGCCAAAAATGCTGAGGATGGATCTATCAGTTGGGAAAATTTGTCTCAAGATATTAGATCTACAATCAATGAAATAAATGCTCAGTACCGTGAGGTCTTTTTTCGTTGATTACAAAATTATTTTCTTTTACATCTCATTGCCCAATCAATAAATATATCAGCTTTTGTTCCCATTTTATAAGATGTTCCCATTTCTCTATCGTCTTGCTGACGTATATATTTACGGTGTGATGCATTCAGTGAATTACTGCAGGGCTTAATGAAAGATTCAGTGAGCTTCATATGAATTCAAATATCACATTTCAGACATTTGGATGCAAGGAGCTAATCGCAGAAGCCGAGTTAGTCGATTCGATCGTAAATTTACTTTCGAATAAATTGCAAACCTTTTTGTTGAATGTTGGCTCAACAAACAAATCAAGCATATCTGTCAAAGAGTTCGCAGCTAATGTTCGTTTCGCTCCATTTTTTCATTTGCAATTTCTTTTATGGTGTTTTTTATGGTGAAAATATTCAAGATCCCTCCGCTGGAAGGTTCTTAAAATGTGAGATTACACATCAAGTGAGCTTAACGCGCGCGGAATTTTAATCATTCGACCGGGTATTTCCGCTGGAGTGCGCACGGAACGGGATTAGAGAATGAATCCATTCTAAAACTTTAGAAGTTATTGTTGATGCATGCCCTCGTTAACAATCCTGTTTTTTGGATTCAAAGTGATCGACTGAAATTGCCGATTGATTAAAAAATTTTTGTGTGCTTTCTCGAAAAAATTTCCTTTCATCAATTGCTTCTATCCAATGGATTAAGACATTTCTCTTTGTCAACTTTTCAAAGTTGATTGTTATCGACACTGAAATTGTAAAATAACGCATTCAGAGTGAAAGCGGTCTTATTGTTAATGTTTTCCAAGTGTATAATATCAACTGTTAAATTTCCATGCGATGTTTCATCTGATGAATATTGAGCCGAACTTGCAATATTCGTCCAATTCAGATCATGAACTATCACGATATTGAAAGTAACCAAGAGCAACGTACTGAAAAAATCAGTAGAATATGGATGAATTTGGCCAAAATAGGGTCAGAGTTCAACAATTCGTCGTTGAACTTCAATTCTTTGTAAGTTTTCATCCAGGGTTTATTCTTACAGATTAAAATTTTGAACTGATTTAAATAAAATAGTCGATAAATAAGTGTAATCGTACCGACCACACTTTGAGCTCAATGATATTTCCATTTCTCTTGAACTGATTCCCTTTTGTTGAAAAAACTAAAGGTCCATTTAAAGGAAGTTACTAAGCACATTTTCCAGTTGTTTTATATGAATACTAGAGTTAGGTCAAGGGCTATCGACCGATTTTCGAGGGCCTTCGAATTTTGGTGATCTGAAAGTCGGTGGTCCCCGACCACAACCGAAAGGCACTGTTCAATCGGTTGCAAGCGAGGAACAGTGAATAAAATAAAGTGAATGTATGACAGTAAAGATATTGAAAGTTTGCTGTTGGAATACTGAAGTTCTATAGATAATATGTAGTTTTTGAAGGGTTGGTATGCAACAAAACATTGGTGGCCAAACGGTGAGGGAAGTAGAAAGATTGCGGAAGACCGCACAGCGAACAGCAACAGTCGAAATGAAGGGAGCTTCGGTTGGGTTTTGTTAAACATTTTTATTTTTGTTATGCTTAAACTTTTTTGACATGGAATTGCATCTTTTTTTTCAAAGCAGACAGCTAAAGTGTTTAACAGAGGAAATTTTACTGAGTCGAAATATGAAAATTTTCATGGAGAATATATCATTTCGATCGTATAAGAGTATAAAATGCTGACGCAAAACATCAACGAAAATATAAATCAGTGATAATTTCTGAATCAGGACTGATGAAGAGAACTTATTCTCCTAATCTTCTTCTTTGCCTACTTCATTGATTATGCACAGTTATTTGATAGCACTTTTTGGTACCGAATCTCCACAACGTATGCAGCTTTTGCAGCCGGACGAAGCGTATAATGACCATGAGGGAAGTTTTGCGAAGAGTCTTGATGAAATGATGGAAAGATTAGAAGCTGAATTGAGGATTAGGGGAACGGATCGTATCAGCTATTATGAGGCTGTACTGCATCCAACTGATTTCGGGAAAACGGTCGAAGCGATGTATCGTGTTGCTTACCTCATCAATGAAGGACGAGTTATATATCATTCTACTGAGGATGAAATTCAATCTCAATTGAGTGTGTTTTTATCAGAATCGATTATTTCTCTATTGATCATCTGATTTATGCAGTTGCCAAACTAAACTGATTGATGTCCTTGAATGATGAATTATTTCCAATTACAGTCCTCGCAGATGGAAGGAAAAAACCCAAAAAAATATGTCTAGTTCAAATGAACATGGCGAAGTGGCAGGTTGGTTCCATCATTTTGAGATTAAAATTTCGATTTCATTTTTGATCGCGCTGTCATTTCTTGTGAATATTATTGAAATATTTCAGTCAAACTTCACAAAAAACAGTCGAATTGAAATTTCTTTCTACCAGCTGTTCGAAGCAATTAATGTGGATGGAGAGATGTCTCATTGATATCTTTATATTCAAAATTTATTAATCTTCTTGATTAATTTCAGCACCTAGTTCAATCACTGGGTATCCAAAGAGCATTACTGCGTCCTTAATTACCACACGAATTGACTATAGTTCAGCCAATGATGATCTCGTGCCTTATGAACTCATCAAATTACACTTTGAGTTGTTTTGTTACATTTTGTCTGTTGAAATGAGTAATGGTTGCGATATCGAATATCATTTTCAATGCTTAACGTTACAATAAACAAACTTTTAAAACTATTACAAGCTGCAAGTTGCAAGTTATCTTCAAATTTTGTTGAGAGATGGTTTTCAGCTGCTTTTATCTGTACTTGCTCTTACTCATTCATCATAAAAATTGGTTTTATACAATTCTAAACAAAGCAAATACAACGTAACAGAGTGAATCGAAGTAATATTAATCTGGTAAAGTAGATACACTTTCTAATAAGAAAAAGTTTCGAAGTGCACTTCATTAAATACACGCATTATAGACATGAGTTTGACGTTGAGAAATGTGCTGTGATCAAATAAATGCACTCACATAATCAAATAATGAACAATGAATATAATCAAATAAAAAATAGAACAATGATTTGCTTGTATCATCTCATCGATCAATTGACAGTCAGTTTCTACAATATAATTTAACTATTATAATTCATTGAGATATGCGACGTTTGATGAAAAAAAAACAAACAAATCTTCCATCGACTCAAATTCACTTATATACAATGAGTGGTCGTGAAGTAATCAAATCGTATAGGAACTGCTAAAATGTAAAAATTATTCGACTGTGCAGACAGCAGTCATATGAGATTGCTCACGAACTGGTTAATGGAGTTAAAGAAAAATCACTATAACTCGTATTAAAGTGATCGGAAACACTGTAGTCAAAATGAAAAATCATAGTGCAATTGTTCGTTAAAAAACATCAATTAGTGTAGTGAAATGTATTTTGCTGCATTGTTCAAAGGTGCTTTTTCAATGAACACATCTTGAAGGAAGACTTTGAATCAAATCAAATTTCAAAGATGCTTCACAGATCATAAACAAACAACCAGTCTGAGATCAATTCATGCGATTATTTATTCTCTTTTAAAACATTCTACAAGAGTGCTTAGCCGATCATATTAAAATCTAGCGTATGTCATGTATTCAGTCTGTTGAACGATGGCAAATGACCCTTAAGACGTAAAAGACAGCGTTTGTTGCGCAACAACCACAAATTGTTTTGTGTTTATCAAAAGATGGGCACTCTCACAACCAATCCTTAAAGGCAAGGAAGCAAATGATAAGGCAAATAAAAGCAAATGATCCATAAGAAATCGCCTCATAATTCTTCATGAACATTCGTGCTCATGATCAATCGGATGGATCATGGTCTGTTTCATTGACCTAAATATGCTCATGAAAAAATTTCAAACAACGCGAACTATAAAAACAAAATCATACGCAAAACAACTGTGGTGATGATGATTGATAATCAAGAACTATAGAGCAATGAAACTTTCTAATAAAATGATGAATAATTTATAAACGCGTTAACAAAAAGCAGATAAACAAACCAACTAGAAATGAGCATTTATAAACACAGAGCACGGTATTGAGCAATCTATGAAGAGTACATCTGTTGTTGATGAAACCGATTACACGCACACATTATAGATGTAGCAGTCAGCTTGAAGTCATTTCAGTGTTCTGCTTGACACTGATTATGGTTGAACTTGGCGATAGTTCAATGAAACTCATCGATTTGTCACTTACTGTCTATTGAGCTGAGAAAGTCGAACTGACTGCCTATTGCCTCTATGACATTGAATCATCGAATAAACGTAGCTAAAATGCTGTGTGCTACCGAATTAACTGGTGACACAAAATTCTCGAAAAACAATGTTGGGTTTGGAAGGCAAGACACAATGCTGACAGTTTTTGACACTGTCTGCCAATCCACTCATGGAACCTTAAAGGAAATCAGTAGTTAACTAATGATTCATTTTTGTTCATAAAACGTCAAATGATAAGAGTATAAAAGTGATGCGAACAATATTCTTAAAAAGTGTTCTAAGTTGAGCGCAATTGCAGATTGGTATAAGTAAGAGAACACGAAACGTTGAGGTGAACTAATAAAGTTGAACTCAATTAAAAACTAATCTAAATCTTATTATAAGACAGTAAATACATACCACCGAAAATGTTTTGTAACAATTCCGACAGTGAATTAGAAAGGAAACAGTCAACTGAGAAATGCCCTTCCTCTTCGTATTACTGCTTTAAGTTCAACTTTCGAAGTTTGTTTGAGTATACAATAGTGATGGGATCCGACCGACAGTCGGTCGGAGAAATCCAACAATTTCGGTCGGAATTCCGACTGTCGGAATAACGAAATGCCAACTCGGTCAGATCCCGACCGAACGAAATTTCGCTTGGACCCCATCACTAGTATACAATCACTAAACAAATTATCTATTCAAACGAACGCCGCACCTGAAAAAGGTTGAAAATGTTCAACGATACATGAGCATTACGAAGAAGGCTGCTCAACAACTTGTTCGATTCCGATTTCGTTCAGCCGTATCTCGTCATTGTTCTCGAATTTGTCGTCATTAAAGCATTCTTCTGATTCGCTTTTCACTGAAACATTTTGTGTTTGATTCGTTGTTCGTGCCTCTTCCAACTGCTTTCTTCGTTTGAGTCGTGATACTATCGCGGTTATCAGCGCTGCACCCTTACCACTACCATCACCCGTTTGAATCACTCTGAACTGCAAATCAATCCAGTTGTTTTGAATTGATTTTATTTGAACGTTCCATGAAGAGAACTTTTAGAAGTTTACTATAACAATGTTCTGCATGAATTCAGCAGTTTCACCTGAACTCATGTTTGAAATTCGAATCATTCAACAGAACTAGCACCATTCGAGCATATAACGAATATGAACGTAAAGAAAAAGTTTGATGTTGTACTCGAAAGGATTCACAATCAAGGGATCTAAAAATATTACCAAAACCACGAGTGAAACTTTATTAGTGACCTCCTCAAGAATGTTTCTAATTAGCGGAGAAAACAGAATTTCAAATTATCTAAATGCATATTCGATAATATTAGGGTCGTAAAAGATGAATCCAAAAACGTGTGTTGGCAAAAAATTTGATGAATCCCAAAAATTGAAATACGCAAATTCAAGGCCATTATCATCATATTTCATCAAATTGCTATTATTAGAGAATTTCAGTTTGGTGATTGATGATGTGCAAATGACAACAAGCGCTTGAAAAAGAAAAGACAAAATATAAGAAATATTTCAACGATTGAACAACAAAGATGTTATGAGATAAAATATACTAAAAGATCCGTTATTTTTATCTTTACGGCACTCAACTAGCCTTCAAATGAACAGTTACCTTTATTGATGGATCAACAAGCTCTCTGAGCTTCTCATTGACCCAAAAATCAAAGAATGGATGATACTTGTACGTACTGCCATCAATACCCACAATCATATCAGGCTTTCGTATACGATTTAACAGACACGCAATCGCTGTAATTGGAATGCATTCAATCAGATTCTCGTTTTAATTTCTCAATGGATGTATTCATTCATTCCTTGAAATTCGATCTGAGTGAATTATTGAAAAAAACCTTGAATGCATATTTAGTGAAATATTTAGTTCATAAATTTAACGATTACAAGCGATGAACGAATCATTCATTCACCTGCAGCGCCAAGATTCGCAGAACGGCGTGATACAACAATGCAAACTTCACGAAACAATAGCATATCACTGAATGTGTACTGTTCAATGCCCAATTCACCCATGATTTGCCTTGTATTTTGATACGATCCACCTTCATCACTTAAAATTTTTATTTGTTGTATGGTATCATTCGATATATATCACATTCTTTAATAAGTACAAAAATGTGAGATAATGAGTTTTTTAAAGGTAAGAGAATAGTGAGTGGACATTGATAATGGACTAGTAAATTAGCTACTGGATATTTTTTGCCATGTATTTTGTATATTTCCACATTGAATGAATTTTTTCATAAATCCTTGAGGAAGATGTTAGAAAATTCTAACTTTTAAATGAATTAGCTTATTTAAATGAGAACAAAATTCAAATATGATGACGCTGAATATGAAGTTACAACATCTCACGAATACAATTATTAAAAACTGTGAAAAGAAACCTGAGGATTTCAGAAATATATTTGGTTGGGAATTGGTCTCGCGTGAAAAGAGGCTCAGATCCTCTTCCACCAAAAAGCACTCCACTTCGCGTTAATTTTTCGAGTACCATCCGCACTAATTCGCCCATGCATCTACCAGCGACTAATTTGTCAAAACTGAATTGCACTTATACATCGATCATTTCCATATTTGATAATGAGCATAAATTTATAATATCTCAGTAACAGATTTTCGATACGAGGTAAATATTCTTCAGAAAATGTTCATGAAATGGATCTTTGAGGTTTGATGTGAAGTGTTATACTATACGCAATGTAAGATACAGTTTCCGATAAGAAGGTAACAGCAGTGGTTTGTTGCTCACTAGTTGAATATTATTGCGTGAATCGAATATGGCGACATGAATTGAATCAACCAACACATTAACTCCAGGATGTTCGGATCTGCTATCAATGAGCTTATCGTATTGCGTTAGAATATATTCTGCTTCATTACGATCACCGAAACCACCCCATTCGGTATCAATGATCATTTGTGGATATGGATATGGCTCAGTGGCTGTTGAAAGACCCTGTGTTATTTTCGAACAATCTTCCATATATGATGCGTTCGTTCCAGTTGCTGAATGCAAAATATATGTTCAATCGAATTTTGCATTCAGGAGGATTGTAACTTAAGGAGAAAGATATCTGAGTATTTTGACGACTAAAGGGCCACCGAGAACGTTTTGAAATGCAATGATGGACGAAATATCGTCGCTAAAAGCAGTTTCAAACGAGGATTTTCTAATTGAATTTATAGTAAATCGTGCTGAAGGCACTACCCTGAAGGATGGATGCCTTCAGCAATGCTTGCTTCCGTTCACTTCCCTTCAGAGACTTTCTAGTGAAAGATATGTTCATCGAAGAGAACCAACCACCCATACCCAAGCCTCACGACCTAAGCGAGTATGCACGCACGCAAGAGCTAACGATCGGCTCTGGTTCAAGTTACACTTTCTCTCTGCTTACAAATCGTGAAAACTACATTTGTTTTAAGAAATGGTTCAACAACTAGCACTTGTGTCTTATCATATAACGAAAGATATGGAACGGTTGCGTTTATAGATAATATATGTAGTGTACCTATAATAGCACCAACATGACACACTCCACCAGCTTCGTGAGCTGCGGCAACCATCGTTCCAACAGTATCGTTTATTAGTGCTACAACTTCCACTTTTATCTTCTAAAATATCTTATCATTTTTATTCATGCTAATATTTCTTCGAAAATTCAGAAAACAATTTTAATTCGGAAATTCATTTGTGAATGAAATCATTGGACATGTAGCAATTAGTTAATCAAATAATCATTTTGACAGGTGAACACGTTTCATTGATTAACCTTGGAATCAATTTTTCACATTAATATTGTTTTCACGAAGTGTATTTCGTTCAATGAAATCTATACATTCCTGTAACACTACATTGGAATTGAATTGATTGGGATGCATTACTTATCGATCAACGAAAAGCTTGTTAAAATTGATTGATGCATCGATCCCCGAAATTGACGTTATTCTATTATACCGGCGATGTTATCAAAATGGATACGTGAACGATATTACGAGAACTAGAATGGGGAGTAATTCCCTGACCGTTACTTTTATTGTTGAAACTTGCTTTCCACAAAAAAATTGATTTCATACTGAGTACTCCCTAGTTCTATTCTTCCTCACTCTCCCCTGTTTCTCAATGCCGAAAGTCCTTTTTTCCCCAACGACAATAACATATAGTGAAGCAAAATAAATTATATCCAATTAATTTAAAAATTCAGTTTTTGAAAATTCATTTTAGACGAAATATTTCACAACGCTCCGGAAGAATTGCGCAGTGTAAAAGTTTTATTTAAAATCAATACAGAATCTTACTCCATTTTTAGCAATCGCTTTTTCCAACAGCTGTACAACGTCTTCGCCAACTACACCTGTAGCCTCAAATCCTTTAGTCCACCTGAATTTTGTACAGATTAATGCCACATATTTCATATGATTAGAAGTAAACGAAGCTTTTATTAATGTGCAAATAGAAGTCAATAGCATTTTTACAAATATGAGGTCAAAAGAAGATAGTCATTTATACCGCAGCAATCGTGCTGAACGTAAACCCGTTTGATCGCAAGGATAAGAGAACGTAAATCCAAGAGGAAGCCCAGCTTGATCAATTCCCTTTTCAATTAAAAAATCAGCTAAACAATTCGCAATGAAGTCAAAGAGCTGAAAAATAGACATTATTCAAGTCTCAATAGTCATTCAGTTAGCTGATCATTCAATTAGATCGCCACAAAATAACAATCTCATTTTTGCAAATCTTGACATAAGAGCGAACATATCATTATGAAGATAAAAACCGTCAACGAAGAAAGACCGTTAGAAAATTATGAACCTGTTCACCAGTACCATGCATCGCCCAGTTTGGAATACGTGTATTAAACTGTTCTGCTGTCAACGGCTCTCCAGGTGTAATCTTCATTAACATAACACGTAAGTTTGTACCACCCAAGTCCATAGCAATAAATGTTCCTTCCTCTGTAGTAATTCACATCAAAACGAGAACAAAATCAATCACTCTAAATACGACTTAATACAGTAAATGAATTGATATTCTACATTCGTTTGAATTTCTTTCATTATGTCCAACAATAACGTACCTGTTCCGTCAGGAAGTTCAGGCACAAACGAGGGTAACATTGAGATGGTACTCATTGCAAGACCACCTTTCAAGCCTCTATCCATATTTTTCGACATATGTTCCATCATTCGACGTAGTGTGCTATTTGGTAATTTAAACTCAGCCATAACCGATTCCAGCTATAAAATGGTACATAATTCATAATCAATTTTTAAAATTTTCGATAGAAACATTTCAACGACTGCATCCGAAATGCCTGTTTTATTTGCCGTTTTTTTTGCATAGCTTTCACAACTGTGACTAAATGAGCATTTGTAGTGCTATTCATACCGAAATGACTTCTTCTTGTGCCATTTGTGTTCCTTTGCCAGTCATTTTGTCGATATCTTCGTAGATATCTTGCACCGTCTTTTGCCTCGCAAAGAGGGCTGGACGTCGTTGCGGTGTTGTTTCGAGCCATTGTCCTATCGAACTGGCCAGAGAAATTACTCCTAGCATCACCACTGCTTCAATTGAACTCCATCATCAGTTTACTACTCATTTCTGTTTTCGATCGGTATGACATTTCTGCATCGATTACTTTCTCCATAACACCACATCATTACACAAATGATGCCATTCAATTTATGACAATACATAAATGTGAATTGAAATGATCCTTTCACCAATACTATTGTTTTTCCATTTCAGAGGAGCGTAACTTCCTTCTTTATCAATTAGTCACTCAGAATTGTCCAACTTAATGACACAAATCAGCCTCAGTTATAATTTCTAAGAGAACGAAACTTCCGAAATCTACACCACTGACTCCCATAAGAGAAGGGGGTGGGGAATTTCCTTTGGATAATTTAATGGGCTAGGGGGAATTTAGCGGGCTACCAATTGTTGATTGATTCAACAAAGATCAATCATTGTTGACTTTTTCATAATTCTGTTTGTTCAATGTTTTCAAAATGCTCATTTGATAACAAGGAATTGATTCGTTTGATGTATTATTTACGGCAAATTTGTTGATCAATTGATTAATTGCCCAACTGTCATCTGATGTGTCGCTAAGAGGTAATGAATTGTCGGGGGAGGGTTGAATGAGGGTCATTTAAATTGTTGGAGGGAGAATAGCAGATCGCTATACTGCCATATGAGAGCACGGAGCGCAAGAACGTGAGAACCATGATCTGTTCGAACATTATTCAACTAAATTTCAAATGCTCAGATAAGAAACGAAGTAATGGCTATTCTTGCTAAAAAAAAAAATTTCGAATTCCTTAAATTTCGCTGAATTATCATTGGAATAACGAGTTTGATTTGTGGAACTGAATAATCAGTAATAGGAATTATGATTACGACGACAGTAACACCAACAACAACAGTTGATGATCAAGCTTTCAAGATTGTTCATTTGACTGCATCATTAAATTATAAAATGGAATGAAACATCAGAAATTGACTGATAAAGAATCAGTATGTGAAATATTTCGCACGAACAAAATATTGCACTGCAATATCTTTGAACCATCACTTCGTTGCAGTTGTCACGTCGTCATGAGATTATCACTGCATAAATAAAAGAGTTGAAATGAGCGAGGCTGTAAGTGCAGATGAACTTTGCTCAATAGTAGCGAAACTAATAAATTTTTATTAACGATCCAACTGCTGGAAGAACAATTTTTAGATTTGCTGAAGTCATATTCATTTGGTCTTCAGTCAATTCACATTTCAGTATCCACCGAAACGAAGGCAGATATATCACTTAATCGTATTATCAATTTATCAAGACCCAAATCTATATAAAGTTCAAGAGGAAAATATACGAGTAAATGTTTTCAGAACGTTGCTGCCAAGCTGAATTTCATTTCTTCAGTATTCCTGTGAATGAGTCAAATTCAAAACATATTGAAATTTCATGAAAGCACATCTCGTCCTTTTTTTTCCTTCAGCAGAAAACGAGTGTTCATACTGCAAAATTTTGTACGGGATATTATGCTCTAAATTTTACCGAAAAGACAGTAATATTCCCAAAAATCTGTTGTTCATTTTGGATTATTGATTTCACATCACCATTCTGCGAGAGTTAAGTTAATTGTGAAATGCGATATTTGATCCAATAACTAGAAAAACAAGTTTTGCTGAAGTCAAAAATTGAATTTTAAGATTTAATGACAAGAGTGGAGTCAATTTATAATCGACTGGAACGATTGAGGGTGATATATGAAAGCACCATCTCATGAGCAGATGAAAAAAGCAGAATAGATATCAACTGATGATGGATGAACATTGTCAATGTTATTGTACATAAAAGATGTCTTTTGAAAGTGGAAGGACTCACGTGCCGTGATAATACATCGGTGACGAGTGCTATACAAATTGTTTACAGTTCTCGGAAATTTTGTTGATTTTTAATCGATAAACGTTTCTTTCATTGTTTCGTCTCATTTTATGTTTTCTTCCCATTATCGTTCGTCGTCAATTGAACATCCTTCTTCACTTCACTCTGTTAATAACTGCCTAACAACGAGACATTTCTCGACGGAATTTGAATAAGAAAGAAACATTCATATAATTGAAAATCAGCAGGAATGAATGAACTTGATTAACAACACGACACTGTGAAAGAATTTAAACTTTCAGATCTTATTACATCCTCTGTGTCCGTTAAATTCTTTGATATTTGCACATAAAATGACGAATAATTACGAACAATTTAACAGAAATGAGTTTCAAGCTACGTACAAACGTAATCAATTCAGCGAATCGTTGAATGTGCTCCAGTTGTAGTGTTAGAACGTGCGCCAACTGTTTGAGTAAGACTCAATTATCAGTTGAATTTGTTGTATACTCTTTTGCACATAAATCGCACATTTCATGACATATGTAGAGCACTACATTAAATCTGGAGGGATGTAGCTGAATCATTTAATTATGGCGAATATTTTTTCGCTACGGTCATTTCCATTTTCAACTTCTCTTCAGAACACATTTCATCATCTCGACTAATTACATTCTCACAATGGAATCATCAGTGATTATGTCAATTTAAAAACTAATTGCATGATCGCAGTTCAATAGAATGGTGGAATATTCATTCAGATCAACTTCATTCCGAATACGGTCTCAAAATAGTTCACACTCAATTTTTGAGTGAGTGCATTATTCAGCATTTGTCAAATCTAATTTACCACTCATCTAAGAATGATTATCGCCATCTTCTTCTCTCCTCTATCCTTCCTCCATCGACAAAAAACAAGACAATACTCAACAGCCAGATCACCCACTAAGATTCTGCTAATTATAATATGAAATGGACCACGACAATACGCCTAAAGAGATGTAACTGAACGAATCTTTTTCATTCGTTCAGTGCATGATTGTTCGAAACAGCACTGAACGACAACTACTCCTTTAATTCGTAAAATCAAGGCAATAGGAATTGAATCCACAATCATGAACTGAAATGAATGCATTTCTTAACCAACTTATTTACAGACGTATGTTGTTACTACTCCTGTTCGTTTCATTTTTTTTTTGAAACTATGAAATAAATAAATGTTTTAAAGAGATGAATTTCATAGCTGAATTTTATGGCTCCATAAAAGAAAATGAAATGATCAAAAGCAAGTGAAGAAAACAAATTAAACAATAAATGAATAAGAGTGTTGTATGTGCAAGAAAATTGACTGATTTAATAATGAACAATAGATCGGCTAAACACACACAGCACAGGTGACTACTACGATCAATAATGTTTTAGGCTAAATCACTGCAACAGAATGAGGTTAAAACTCATTGAGTGCGAGCTTGTTATCATTACATTACTCAGCAACCCAAACTCTTGCCAAAGTACGCATAAATATGCTACATGCAAAACGCATATATTAACATACGATATTGCGTTTCTGATTGATCTATGGCATATATTACATGTGTTTTTGCATTATGAAAGCGCATTGAGCCGTTCAAAACAGTAGCAATCTAAGAATTGAGTTTTATCGCAATTGATTCAATTTTTTTTGAATAAACAATTAAATTTTATTTGATGTTCGTGACAAATTCTGTACAGTACAATTACTACTACTATAAAGAGGTTGTAAGCAAATAGAGTGTTACATAAATTCACATGTGATATGAACCGATGAGAGACGAGTACTGGAATCTGTTGCATCAGATTGAAAAAGTTACGTGAAACATGTGTGACCAGCATCACTGAATAATTTTGAAAGTTAGATTTGCAAAAACACCTAGGCAGTTGAAGATGTGAAAAAAATATGAACGACTTAGACCACAAATTCGGAATAATGAGAAGAGGCAGTTAATGAAGAAGGGTAAGTGTTTGTATGACATGTAATTATGAGACGCGATCAATACACGGATATGTGAGTAGCAATAAACCTGTTAAAGTGGTTCGATAAAATTGATTGAGAAATGTTTAGCAATCTTTACGGCTTACACTTTTACTATTGATAACTTTCTAAACTATCTGTGAAACAATGCAGACTATAAAAATTACTAGGAGTAAATGAGCAAACAAATAACGTTACTACTTTAATTGCTGATAACTGGTGCACATACAAAACATGGTTTAGTTTTTTTCGATTGATTTTCATTGAATCATAGAGAATAACTCGTTAAAAGGTTTCTAACTGAATCTTGACGGATTCTTCAGTTTATGAACACATTTCAAGCAAACGTTTTTACGTCGATGATTAATTTGACTGATCATTAACTTTCCATGGAATACAGATATCAATTTGAGAAGTTTCAAATCAAATGAACAAAATTATATCAGTGCAAATGAGAAATCAAAATTAATATTGTGCAATGAATGTTTTCAAAAAGTTAATTCGCGAGTTCATCTTACACTATCACGATGACACATTCGAATGATCAGTGTGCACTCTCCTGATACAGTGATTTTATGTAAAACAGTTCGCATCATAAAGGACCCAAAAAGAGCAAAACAAAGTAGTGAATACTGTTTTAAAGAAGTGTGTGCTCCTACACTTTCAAGAGGTAATTATACGTTTTGCACTCAGTCTTGAAGAGGTGAGCAAACAATATATTGTTCGGATAAACCAATCAACAAACCCATGAACAGGCGCATTTCAGACTGTCTCGTAAAAAATGAAAAGTGATGAAAGTAGGCAGTTGAATAGTTTTTCGTCGATAGGTTTTGATGGAATAATACACGCGCGAATAACACAAATACACTTTAACTATTTCTGTTCATTATTATTATTATTATTATTATTATTATTATTATTATTATTGCTATTATTATTGAAATTATTATTATTATTATTATTATTATTATTTTTATTATCATCATCATCATTATTATTGCTGCTGCTATTATTTTTGATTTTACTGACTACATGAAATAACAACTGAAACTGACTGCTAAAAGCTACCACATCAACAATTTGAGGACTCAGCCCCCTATACCTTCATATGTCGATTGTTCAACGGTTTACTTCAGAGGCTGGGGGAAGGTAGAAGGATAAATGATATCCCGAAAATTATTAACAATCTTATTGATGAATCTTTTTGCTGATGATTCTGCATCAGAATTTGACTGAAGTCCCGGAGTTCCCCACTCCCGAAACAAAGTTGTGTGCGAATGTGTGCAAATGATCGATGATCTTCAGTTTAAATCGTGAATCCATCTGCCATCACAAACGCAATATTCACGAACGTAATGCACTTATCAACGTCATTATCAACAAATCAACTAGAATCGCACAGAGGTACTTGCACTGTATTAGCATCGACCTTATATGAAACAAAAATGAACACAGCCAAATAATGACGTATCATTCGTGAGCATTTCGTTTCTGTGACGTTAGTCGACGGTTAAATTAAAGACGAACTGAATTTTGCCACAACTGACATGTTAAAATACTTCAATTCACTGAAATTATCGATTACTATTGGAATAACATCAAATTTTCAATTGCACATTTCAAAGTTTTCTTCTAACGTCACAAAAACTTGGGATGCATTCATAAACTAACTGTTCCACTCATCAATCTGTTAATCGATTCATTAAAGACATCATCACGATTATTACATCAAATGTTCGTATGTTCGTTTACACGACATGTGATTTATACACGCACTTTTATACACATTCAGAATTGCGCTGATAGCTTTCATAAACGTGTTCGTGCTAAGCAGACTACTTCTCGTGTTAATTTCTATGATTAGTGCTATACAAACATTTATAATATCTTCATAAATATGTATTGTCATCATTAATGCTTCTCTGTTATCACCGTTGAAATTAAAGCATGAAACAATATTGTTGAATTTTCTCAGTGGACCATCGAAATGCAAGAAGAATCAAGTTGAAAAAGAAATTGTATCTGTTCCAACCAGTCAACTGTGCTTTAAATAGGTCTGAACACTGAATGTAATCTGTAAAAGAGATGAATCAACAAACGCTACTATTCAGTCAAATTCATGAAAATGTTGCTTGAAACAGCAATTTATAAAAGTCCTGAAGATGAAACGCGTTACAAGAGCACAACACATTTGTAGTGTGTGATGAAGTGATAACACAAATGATATTATATGTCACTTAAGAACGATTAATATCAGTGTCTAAGAAGCAATTTAGTGGTGATTGCTATGTGATGAAGAATTGATTTTCCTTACTACTTACTATGCATACCATCCTTACTATGCATAGAAATACACAGGTCATCAGCAAATGGTGATATTTCTTATTGAGTGCATACAAATTTTGCAGTCTTCGATCAACTCTATCCTCTGCAACAATCCAATCAATCATTCAAATCAAAACTACATTTCGGACTTATGTACAAATCGCACAGCTATAAACGAAGCGAAGCAAAATGCTGTTGGCGTGCATTAAAGAAAAAAACCAAATTTCGCGACTGTAAGTGCGTATTGCGTATAATCAGTTGTTTAAAAATGATCATTAATTGTAATAACAATAAAGAAACTAACAACAACAACACACCTAAAATAGTGATAATAACAATAACACAAATGATAACAAGCAACGTTCACCATAAATTTTATGACACGAACAATTAATAGATCTAGATAGAGCAAAATGCTGAGAAAGTAATTGTTTTCGTTGACGAACCGCTATTGTCTTGACACTTATAATAGAACATAATAAAGCTCTGAATCAGTAAGTTTTTATGAAAGAATAAATTGTAAAATGATGAATGTTGTATAATTGACCTTGTCTTGTTGTTTCGGATCATAAATGTTATAAACACGTACGAATATCTATCTCATCAACTATTGGGTACGTGGCCGCATTCATTTCAGCTAGAATATAAACTTATACCTAGCTTTGTATATAATAACATTCTAAAACATACATACGGCGGTATTTATTTCATGTCAGAGGTTCTTATAGAGAAGGAACTTGCCCTTGGGGGAATTTGAGTGGTAGGGGAGGTTCGAAGGTGTTGACTAAGTGATTATCATTGATTGGTTTCATGTTTGTGCAATAGTTTTCAAGATGATCATTTGATGGCAAGGAAGTGTTATTGAGTAGCATTGGCAGAGGACTTCTTGATCACTGGATCAACTTATTGCATTATCAAAGGGAGAGGGAAACGGCGATCGTGTAGGATTTCGGGGTGGGGAAGGGGAGGGAGAGGGATACAGTTTGCCACACATCCACATAGGAGAGCACGAAGTTCAAGAGCTAAATGCGCATGTGTATATTCATATCTTATGTGAATATCATTTTTTAAAAGATTCAAAAAAGCCAGCGTGATAAGAACCTCTTTCAGAAAGATCTTGAACAAAAAGCATGTCATCAAAATCAAAAACCAAATTCTTGTGATTCTGTGAACGAACTTCCAAATTGAGTACCTCGTACCAGTGTTGTAAATGAACCTTATTCACTATTATCTCTACAATTGCATCCTTCAGTACATCTCACCTTCATCATTGCGGTTTTTTTTTTCGAAATGAATTTCTTTCTTCACATCCTTTTTTTCGCTTCACTTTCTTAAATCATTTTTGCCCATTCGTCATACTTTTAGATGATTTGAACTTTTTGTACTGCTCAACTCTAGGTTTGTTTGCGGAAATGTCGTTCATTCAAAAAGTGCCAAACTATAGTCACTTAGATTTGCACTACATGGGAGCGATCGCAATATTATGATTGGCCGGATCGATCAACATCTTGATTAATCACCCATATGAAATTCTTGATATGCACTGCTTACAAAAGAACCAACAAAAACAGCCAGTCGCGGTGGAAAAAAACTTATCAACAAATCGGTTACTAGCCCCATCCAACTTAGCTTGTTTCATTCGTTGCTGAGTTCATAGACAAAAAGGCTATTAGCATTTAAACACTAATTTCAAAAGTCTGTCGAATGATCCACGAATGTGAAACAACGAAAAGCATCTTTTTAATCATTAACATTCGAGTTTCAAATTACAATTATTAATGATTTGTGGAAAGAATCATTCAATCCATACGAAGAACTGACGAGACTGCGAAGACCAGCAATTGGCACACACTTAATGCTAGCAATAATGGTTTAGCAACAGAGACGATGAATAATATCAAAATTATAAATAAACGTACAAGTTTTTAACTAAAATGATATACATAAAAAGTAGACAAATTAAAAACAAATAAAATGTGCTCTACAAACATCAGAAAATAAAGTGGCTACAAATGCTACAACAAGACCACCTTGGTTTATAAACATCACACTAAAGCATTTATTTTACAGTAAAGTCACAAGCAAATGAGCGGAACTAACAAATATACAAAGTTTCTGGCGTCTGACAATACAAATAATGACCATTAACGGATTTTCACATATCGTCATTGGAAGGGTTCAATATTATTCTGACAAAATATAAAGCATGAAACGATATCAGAAAACAGACATAGGTGAATAATTTCGTATGGACAGATTGTAGATAGATGAGTGCTACTTAGAGTCAACATTTATTCAATTAAGTTAAACAGAATGGAAAATAAATAATACTGATTGATGCAAATTCATATTTACGACGGCATTGTTAATGAAAACTTTCGTTTTCTAATACTTTGTAGCGCGAGATTGAAGAAAAACGGTTGCCTACTGGGCAAGTAAGATTACCGAATGGAACTAAACAAATGACTGGGTGACTCTTACCACCTCTAAGTGATTTATAAACACTAGTGCCATTACGAAGTGATTACAAGGCGCCGATGTTCAACGTGCTCCCAATCGTAAATGGTTTTGAAAGGAATAAATTTAAGTTTGCCGAGATGATTGGAAACGATTTCTCACTTGAACTGCTTCAGAATGATTCAAAGTGATAATAAGTCTTAAGTAATGATGACACAGCCTTAAAAGCAAAATTCTTGACCACAGTAGAAGTACATTCAATCTGCACTGCTCAGTTCACTTTTTAGTATCAACAACCAATCATTCTTTCCACTCAACCGCATCATGAAGCCTTTTCCAGTCGTCGTAGCCGCACTATAAACTCAACTTTACAATCACGTTAAAATATTTCAAATTGAAAATATCAACGCAATATAAACTCATATATACGAAAATGATGAAGCGTTTAATGCAAAAACTATTGAATGAGATATTAAAAAAGGGAGATAATGAATCACATCATAAGAAGAAAATGGAATATGAAGAAACATACAACGTTCGTAGTTGCGCTCAAGAGCTTCTGAAACTCGATGACGGGCTTCCATCGATTGAAATGCGACACCAACACGCAGTAAAGTCTCGTTCTCCTCCACTGATAACATCATATCCATTTCAATTTGATTACCGAGCACTGCTGCACGCTGAAATATTATCCATCCTTAACTATTTCTGGTTCATTTACTTTGAAGCCCTCATTAAAATGTAACAGCTGGGCGTTTACTTCAAAAGTCCATCGAGTACGAAGCCACTGTTAAATGAATTATTATAGTTGCGTTATAAACATGCTGCTTTTCAGCACACAACAAATGGTGTTTAAATCAAGCGAATACACATTGAAATGACAATCACTGAATGAACTACCTGATTTTCGGCATGAAATTCAACCAGATTTTGAGTGGTGAGTGTAGCGCGAAGTAATTTAGCGAGCAGCTCAGGCGATATGAAGTTTGATTCAATGTTGAGAACGCGCAAAGATGGTGACGTCTCTAGCAGCTCTACCAGGCCCTGCAATATGATCAGCAATTGAACGATGATTATCAGTAGTCTTTGAAACGAATATTTGGCTTATAGTTACAGTTTAAACTGGACCACTTATCTAACCAGAACTCTCACTAATGAATGCCACGTCACATAAATCGCTCGACTAGCATAAAAACTAACATTAACATGAAACTTCTAACACATAAACCTTTCCACTAATATTACCCAACGAATGTTTTTGTTCATGCCGAGCATTCTATTTAAGTTGCAATCCCGCTATTATTTGGTTTTCGCTGAGTTAATTCTTTAAAAATTACGATGCATTGTGCACTTTAACTAAATACACTCATCCAGCTCGAATTTTTAAAGCATATAAAATTCATTTACATAGTTTATGCTAGCATAGAAGCTAATTAACTGCATATGTGTTTCACAAAAAATATGCTCGGTACTATATAAAATGAGAAGTGCTTACTGGAAACAATGATCCTTGAATGTCAATTTCAAAAAGATGTTCAAGGACGAGAAAAAAAAATGAAGACAGATAAACAACTAAACGAACACATTGAAAAATACATCGCAAATAATCCAATAAGCTTCTGTTAATGACGTAACGAAGCAATCCGATTGTGAGTATTTTTCAACATATGAAGACAAAATATATTAAACTTATCTTATTTCTATGTCAGTTCTTTTGAGTTAACAAAATGGCGATGGTATGTAATTGCGATATCAAAAATGGATTATGAGGTTGTCAGCTAAGACAAAAAATCACAACAGTTCGGGAGCAATCGATAGGAAAAGGAAGGTTTAATTTCAAAACAAGTAAAAGATTGTTTCTTTTTTAGGTATTTACGTGGACATAATCTATCATGAATAAATAACAATCAGTTACCATTTGCTCTAAAAGAATATTGGTAGGGTAGATAGGTGAAAGAATCCTCATGATGAGGTTGACCACACAATGAGATAAGAAAAGAAAGGAAACGCAGCCGTCAATCCAAAATTAGATTCATTACCGAATATGTAAATGCTGAGAGTGTAACGATGGAATGACGTTGGTATCGTCTGACGAATGTATTTCCCTTATCAACATAAGTTATCGATATTGATTAACGAATCAAGTCAAAACGTCAATGAACAAGCGCAACACCAACCCTTGCTTCCTGGTCCGATATGCCAGTATTAGCCATGGTTAGTTTTTTAATATGTTTGCTAGCACAAGCTGCTCTGATAAGACTTTTAATGCGCTCTTTTGACGTCCTCTTGAGATTATTTATATTCACTTCAGTCAATTCTTCGTCATCAGCTTCCAATCGCCTAAATTGAGTCTCAGTGTAATGAAATATTCCGCTGAATCTCGGGAAAACAAAGGAGGATATGAAATGAAAAGGATTTGGACATAAAACATTTAAATATTGAAGAATGATAAAACAACTGACCGAGAACATCATTAAATTATTACTAGGCGTCAATACTGGTACGATAACCTGATGGCTGAGTAATTCAAAGAAAATGATGCATCACGGTAAAAAGTGAGAAAGGATAGCCAAAATCAATGAAACGTCAACTGCATGAAATGAAAAATGTAAATGGCGAAAATAATGCGTTACTACAAACAAATTTCACACGATATGAACTTCTGTGGTGATCAAAAATATAGTAATCATATTTGTCATTCTGAAAAATGAAATAAGCCATTGAGTTGAGATTTTTTTCAAAAAGTTAAGAGTGATACGGGAAAACGAAAAAATGAAGCAAGCACCAACTTAATGCAGTCGTCCACATCAGTTTGGTTTTCGGGTTCTTCAGCAATGACTTTCGGTTCAAACGCTTTTATGACACCTCGAAACGTTGTACCGGTTGATTCGTCCTGGGCTTTGCCCTGCAACAACAACAATGTTCATTGATTCAATTCTCAATCGAAATCACCTCACTGCACAGAACGAATTAATGAAAAAAAAACGACGAAATAAACTGAACTAAATAAAGCAATAAAACGGCACTTTTAAAGCGTTGTAGTACTGTGGTTGGTTAAGTAGATTATGCATTCCGAGTATACCGGCCAAATCCACTAAATCCTTTTCATGCGCCTCATTTAGTGCCTCGTCGATTTCATCATCCTCATCGTCCACATCCAGCTCGATGGGCATTTCCATTTCCCCATCCGGCTTTTTGGGGCCTTCTTCTTCTTTTGGCTCGAAAACCTTGCCTGAATTATTTAAAGAAAGTAATAAACAACATTTTACTACAACTATTAAGAGACAATTTCTACTTTATTAACATTTTCGTGGTCGAAAGTTTTAAAAAATTTCTCTGAGTGAAGTTTACAAAATGCTATATCGAATGCAAATGAAAAAGTGAACTGCTGCAAACATTACGAGAACATTCCTATTATTGAAGTTATGGTGGACCTACCTCGTTTGACACCTGGACTGAACGGCACGTGTTCTTCCCAATCTTGTTCTTTCTTGGCTGTTTCCTCCAGATACAACAACAACTTTTCACGTTGGAAAGGTCCAGTCGGCTGCTTGGTTGTTTGATTGCGGCATCGCTGCGATGGAGGCAGCATAGAATTCTGAAATAACAAACACGCAAATAACGTCTTTTTAACAGTACTCGAATCGAAGGCGTTGGCAATTTGGGCTACAACTAAACAGCAATTCGAAAACATATTCAAAACGTTGACTTTTCAATGCTTTCATTTCATGAGACCAGTCTCTGAACACCTTATTAAACCAACAATAATCCGTGATCAACAGATTACCACAGTGCCTAAAATAAACTCAACAGAACATTCGGATTGACAGCTTGCTGGAACTGGGTATCAAAAATGACGCTTGAATAATCAAAATACGAATTTAGCCATCAAAATTTTTTTCAACGCCGCGTGCTTTAGTTAAGATAACCAAAATTAATGCACCAGTGAAATAATTTTTGGATAATATCACTAAAGTCATTGATTGCCTTGATAAAACACAAAAATCGAAGTGAATCAACCGGAACAGAATGCATACAGACAAAGCCGAAGCGGTGGTAAAACGAAACATTTGATAATTTCATTACAAAAAAAGAAGATTCACAAACGAGATGATAAAAACAAACGTCTGGATCGAAGTCATTGTTCAAATCCTCGAGTTCTTCAGGCGAAAGTTTTGATAGAAGTCCTTCTAAATCGGCATCATCAAAGTCCCGTAGATCCTTACCATACAGTTTAAGACCACCACCACCACTGTTGATACCAGCTGTACTACGAGTTGATGGTGCTGTGAGACTTTTCTCTTCAGAATAATAACTGTAAGTATTTGGAATCATTACGAAACGAGCGTTGTGATGTGATGTGAGTACTGGAAATGAGAATAAGAGATGAGTGGGTAGTGGGTAGTCCAGTATTAACTGAAGAAAATTGTGGTAACAAAGTAAATAGCACTGTGACTTTGTCAAGTATTTCAGAAAATAAAACAATTTGTACTTGAGTAGACATGTGAAGGCGAATAAAGCAGGTAGATAACAAGTACAATTAACAAACACTCAAGTAATTTTCTTAATTGTTCATGGTTAATCTCAACAAATAAGCAAATAGTCATCTTCAAACGAACAACTTACTCGCTTCGACTCATTGTAAAAGTGATGATCTATAGGAAATGTCACCGAAATGTAATCGAATGAATAATCTTATCAGACGTCTGTCGTCGTCTCACTTATTAACACGCAGCACAGCTGAAACCAAAGGATGCCCACAAACAATGCCCGCAAACAACGCTGATTTGTGTATATTAACTGTTGTTTCGATCGATGCGATGAGATTGTTGTCAGACGACGAACGCCAGTGAGCATTAGCACTACTAATGCGCTGCACAAAGATTGCAAGAAACAAGCCTCTCTCCTTCTCTTCAACAGCATTATCACGCAACCAGCACACATATACTTATTCATTCATTTATATATTTATGGTAGGTAGGTATGTATATTCGAATAGTCGTCGTTTTGAGAAGACGATTCTATTCAATACGACCACTATAAGACCTACTACTGCGTTTAGCGTATTGAATTTTGCATACGACATAATCTATTCCAAATACAGCATCAATTTTTCATTTGTTTACAATTCGATTTGAGATGTTTTCTAAACATGCACGTATTCTTATAATTATGCTGAACGAACTAATTTGAAGTTTGTGCGCAATGTGAATCAATTCGTTCAATATTTCCATTTTTTTTCGCGCAAATGCAATTTCTTTTGTTATTTTTACATATAGATTTATTTATAAACATTCGTAGTTATTTATAAATTCATCTGTCACAAAGTGCTGCGTTCTCAAGTCGTTGAAACTTAACCTGTTCATATGGATTTTGTGTATCTTTCAAGCTCATTCGTAGCATGTTTATGCTAAACAAAAACGCAAGAAGCACTTGCAATGCTGAAAAATTCTGTATACAAACAAACAAAATTTGAAAAAGAAACAATGAAGTCAAACAAACCGGCTATGGAACCATATTTTTGACTAAATACTAAAACTCAAAAGAGTGTTTCTGACTTTCAAATGACTGAATCGATTCATCCATCTTCAACTGTTTTCCGTTTTACAACTATTTTTTGACGAAGATTCGTCTTTGTTACCATTTCAAAACGATGGTAATGCGTATTCATCATCGTCAATGATTTAACTGAAATTTTTACCAAAACATTCACCAACCATTCATCTTATACTCACTTACTCGTATTTTACGCTAAACTCTTGCATCGTTTTAGTTTTCCTCTTGTAAGCACTTTCAAAACTATATCACTTATTGATATGTGTTTTTGAATACATCTTCTATCAAACTTGAGTTTATTTTGTCATAAAGTTTTATGCACCAAACGCATAATCCAATTACGTTGTGGCATAACGCGAGTTGTTTTCAAGGCTATATTGTGCGAATGCGTTAGTTATCGGTTTTAAGAGAATTTCTATTCTCCAGCAGTTTCACTGTAGATCAGTGCTTCTCACGCTGTTGCGCTCTGCTGCCCCTTTGATCGTACTGCAGACCGTCATTGCACACCTCTGCAGCATTCTGCGTGAATGTAATTCATCTCCTCTCACACTTTAATGGCAACACAAAAAAAAAATCAGGAAACTGAATTATTACTCATGAAATTTACTGCCAACAGTTGGTCGGTGATATCAAATGAATAATCACTTATTTGTAATCAAATAAATGTTCTGAAAATATTGTTGAGCAATCATAGCAGAATTATAAAAAATTCAGTCAGCAATAATTTGCCAATCTCCACAATGCTCCTTCTCCTCCCTGATATCCCCAAATTCCCACCTATGAGCAGTTTTCTTTCCCTATAAGAAACATTGATTTAGATGTTAATTTTTCATATCGTAATCAGAGTATTTGAAATGAAAAGTTGCAAAAGATTAGTGTAGAATTACAAAATTTACTGACGATGAAAACGATCGTTAATTGTGGACATCGACCGAGTGGATATTCTTTTTCGAGGAATTTTTGGTCATCAGTATGATTGGCTTTACGTCATGGAAGGCAATCCGGAATGTTCTAAATTAATAAGATATGATTCGAAAAAAAAAATTGATACATATTTCAACTGTATGTAACTTGATGTGAGAACGGGGGAAATAGGTAAATGAAATATTAACAGCGAACGATGTATGTTCACTTCGACGACGTACCCAAATCCTTCCTTCCTCTCGTACACTTTATTCAGCTGCATCTTTTTACTTTCTACTCGTTTTCGAACAAAATGTGAGATTCGATTTCTTGGATTACGAAATATTTCAGTAATCAAGCTGAGGCGTTCATTTTAGCAAACGAAGCTTTTTCTCAAAATATTTCATTTTTACCTCAATCACTCACAAATGCCAAAGTTTACGTCTTTATCAGGTTAATGCATAGTGTGATGTTCGCATTTTGCTGTTGCTTCGATTTGAAGAGTATTCTTTGAGGAACGGATATGATTTGTCAATTCGTTTGTTTGATTGATACTCGATACAATCTTTCAACTTTTTAGATGATGATGATATCACCTTAAAAAGTCTGTGAATAAAAATAATTATTCATTTTATTCTTAGTCATCATACAACGAAAGTGGTTTATGAATTTTATTGTCAGAATTATTCTGTTGTTCTGACTCGAAAAATGCTCATTGATACAGTCAACTGCTTTCCATTAATATCAACATGATTTCTTAAATTCTTTTGTCATTCATTCACATGCACCAAATCATATCTTGTCATGATTAAGAAGAGTTGAATTCTTGTTGAATGGGACAGATGGCGAAGTTTATTTGTCATATTCATTTACGCAACATATATTTCATGTTGTGTTTTTGTAAAGTGTTGACGGGTACGAAAGACAAACATAGCCTGAGATGTAATAAGCACTTCGACGTTTTAGTGAATGCAGGCACACAGTTTTTCTATTGATTTAGCTTCGTTTTATCGCATTTTCGATTATTATTCATGTATTATAAAATTACATAACATGTTAGATTTAACGATCATAGAGCATCCCATTCGTT